CTATGGCAGTGGATAGATTTTTTAAGAAGTAGGCACATATTCCATCCGGTCCAATAGATAGAGATGGTTTTAGATTGCGTAGTGCTTTTTCAACATTGTCTTCTGTGAAATCGATATGTATTAGATCATTGTTGTTATCTGTGGTACGGCTAGGAAATACTGGGCATGATCCATTGCTGTTTACAAATACTGAGCCGAAGAATGTGTTAAAGATGTTGGCTTTAATGGTGTCGTCGTTGCAGACTTTACCATCAGGTCCTATCAAGGGAGGGATGGACCTTGAGTCTTTTAGTTTGTTGTTTACAAAATTGTAAAAAGCACGGGTGGAATTGGTGCTTAGAAGGTTTTCCTCTTGTTTAATGTGATAATTGGTGCATTCAGTCTTTATCTGGTGGCATAAATTTTTGTAACGGCTTTTGAAATTGGCAACGTGACCAGATTTGTTTTTCCGCCAGAGTGATCTCTTTTTGGATTGAAGTTTCCTTATTGTTATGGGTAATCTGCTTTTTTGTTTTGTTTTGGGAGTTGTTGTTGGTACATATAGTTTGATGACTCTTTTGACTTCAAGTAAAAATATGTTGTAATGGTCTTCAACAGTATTGCATCCAGTGAATAGAGATTGCCAATCAAGGGATGAGAGATCGTTGTCTATAAGATCATAGTTGCCTTTTTTGAAGTTACAATTGGGGATTACATCATTGTGGTGATTTTTGTGTGGACGTATGTTGAGACAAAAGTTAATCATATTGTGGTCACTGCTGGAAAAGGGTTCTTTAGTTTGTAATCCGTAAATTAAATTCAAACTATTGCAGAAGATGAGATCGAGGCAGTTGTTTAGTCTAGTGTTGTTGGTTACTAGTTGTTCCAGTCCCAGATTTGTAATAGCATTGTAGAAGGTTGTGTGTATGATTTCAGTTGTACAATCATTTAGGGTCCAGTCAATATGAGGTAGATTGAAATCACCAAGACAGATAAAAGGGTATGGGCAGGATGCAGCCCATGTTAGTAATGTATTTAGCTTGTTTACATGTTCGATGTCATAATCAGGTGCTCTGTAACATAGTAAGAATCGAATTGTGATATTTAAGGATAGTTCACAGATGATGGTCTCAGGAAGAGCAAGCTCCTGGGTAACTTGGATATTTTTTAGATGTAAGGATTTTTTATAGAAGATAGCAACACCACTTCCTCGACGATTTTCACGATCTGATCGGTAAACATGATAGTCTCTTACTGTGGTAATGGAGTCGGGGAGAGATGCATTGAGCCATGTTTCACAGACAAATATAATGTCGAAGTTAGCCATATTTAGTAGGATGAGAAATTCAGGTATTTTATTCACGAGGCTTCTTGCATTGAGTAGTTTGCATTTAAGGCCGGCAGTAGTTGGAATTGAGGTAGTTGGGGGCGTGCGTGCCTAGTCTTGGGTGATGGTGGATCGGTTGAGGTAGGGTTGTGGTTGAGGGTAAAAGCTGAGTATTGGGTTGTGTGGCTTACTTTTGATACAGTCAGCATGGTAGTCAATGTACAGGTCCTTCTCTCCATTGTCTAGACGTTTTTTGAGTTCAATGCGGAGTACACGGGAGCGGGCACGTTGCTGTATGGTTAGGTCAGGGCGACAACAGAGGTTCTTATGGTTGGTGTTGGTTTTGGCGAGTGAGTTTATAGTATAAATGAATTTACGTTTGCTTGATTCATTTTTGCAAATGACTCTGCACAGGCGAGGGGCCACAGAGCCGTCACTGTTATTGAGCTCTCGGCCAATGCGTGAAATGTCAAGTATTTCATCAGCGGAGATGGTTGATGCTTGATAATCCCTGATGATGTTTCGGACAGTTGTGATGTCATCATTGTTATTGGTGACCTCTAGACCAAATAAGATGGCGTTTGGACGTTTCCGTTCACGCTCAACAGCTTCTCTGATGAGGATTGGGATATCAATATTTGTCTGGGTTGTGTTTTTTTGTGGATTGGGTTTTGGATTGGGTTGTGGTTGTTGGGTAGAGATGTGGTTTGTAGCTATTGGAAGTTCAGGTTTTTGCGTTGTTTCTTTTTTTTCAAGGTTGGATATTCTTTCTTTTACGGCGTCCAGGGATGCTACTATGGTTTCAATGGTATCAATTCTTTCCAACAGATCCAGTTTGGGTTTGCATGATTTGCAGTAATATGGAAACTCATTGGGTGATTCCAGGTATTGAATAAATTGCTTGGTTGATCCCAAGCAGTCATGATGAGTGTATTTCTTACACAGAGAACATTTGATGGAGTTTTCATTATCCTCTAGATTTTTGTAGCATTTAAGGCATGTGCAGGAGTCTTGTGGTTCATTGGTGGGGATTATGTTCTCTTTAGGTTGTGGTTTGGCATTGGATTTTATTTTTGGCATGGTAAGATAGTATGTTGATTGAATTAATTAAAGAAACAGTTTTAGGTAATCTATATAGCTAATATCACACCAACCACTCAATTGCAGTAATCTCTCTAGTCAGATAATATTTCAGGGCAACAATCAGCCTAATCAATTAAATATTCTAAACACTAATCAATTAATTACACTAATCATTAATCACACTGTTCATTTAAATTCACTAAATCATTGTTTTTACTATTCAATTAAATTACATGAATCTTGATCTTTTCAACTAGTCAGTAATCACACTATTTGCACTAAACACTCTAGTCACACTAATCAATTAGGACAATAAATATTTTAATAAATATTTTTATAAAATAATAAATATTTTATAATACTTTCCAAATTATTATCTGTATGGAAAGAAGACCAGGAGAGGGGGTCAGTGGAGGAAAGATAGTGAAACATCTTGTAGAACAAGTTCTCAAATTTTTCTTTTCAATCAAGAGTTTGAGGCTGATGGCTGAATCCCTCTGCTTCTTGACAGTAGGCAACCCATTTTAATCGCAAAATCCCAAAATTATCAATTCAATCTTTTTTTCTTTCAACAAAATGCAACAATTTTGTTACTTTATACAATATTAATTTCTTATATTTCTTTTCTAATTCCTTCTCCATAAGGAATAATTCTGGTTTCGTGATGGTGTTAAGACCACAATATCTTTTGCATCATTGTATAAATTTGCATTTAACATTTATTTGCTTTTCTTCACAAATCCACTATGCATGCTAAAAAGTTCCTTCTTCCTTTTCAAACTTCCAATGTTTTGATGTTCCTTTTTACATTTTAGATCATTACCACCAATACATCATTTTGTAAAACTTCTCTCTTAAATAATAACACAATTTAACACCAGTTCCTTGTATTTTCCCATATTTATATTATGACCAAAGTTTGCAACCCATTTCATCATACAATCAGTGTTTTTCAAACTTGAAACTTTGAACTCCCAGAATTCCTACAACTTTGCCAAATTACAATCCCAAGGCAGTCATGGGTTCCGGATTTTGGATACATTCTGTGTAAGTTAGCCTGTTTGAGGTACAGATAGTCCTTGAGTTACAACGGTTCATCTAGTGACTGTTCGAAGTTACAATGGCACTAAAAAAACGACTTATGACCATTTTCACACTTACATCCATTACAGCATTCCCCTGGTCATGTGATCCAAATTCAGACTCTTGGCAACTGATTCATGTTTATGACTATTGCGGTGTCCCAGGATCATGTGGTCACAATTTGCAAAGTTCTGACAAGCAAAACCAAGCCAGATAAGCCAGATTCACTTAACAACCATGTTACTAACTTAACAACTGCAATGATTCACTTAACAACTGTGGCAAGTTAGCAACAGAAATTTTTTTGTTGCAATATCCTCCATGGCAAGATAGGTAGCAAATAAATGTAACAAATAAATAAATTGTCCAGTTGAAGGTTAAATGGGTTTTAGTAGCATATAAATAAATAACAACTTTACTATTTCACTCACAGGCTAAATGAAATGAAGGCAGACTAGGAGGAAAAATTCTATTTTCAGGTCTTGCTCAAGTGCAAGTGGGGGAAAGTTCTAAACCAACTTTTTTTTAAAGCTAGCATGGGCTCGTTCTCTCAGCACTGAATTTAATTTCCACATTTTGGGTTGTACCAGGGCGAGCTGACCTAACCACTTTTGCTGCCTCAGATAGAGCAGTAATTGAGCAATACTTTTTGAACAAGGTGTTTTGGTTCAAGTTTACCATGCAATGTGGACATCGAAGGGAGAAAATTCAACAAGTTATTTCACCTCACTCGCAGAAAACAGTACAATAATGATAGATTTTATTTCATTGTTATAGCTTTTGAAATCAAAGTCCTCCTGATTGCTAAAGATAGGATAAGGCCAGCTTATTGGTAGATAATTTATCCATGATTTACTTAGCCAGATTTTTTGGGGCTGGAGTTGCACAACACACAAAATGATAAAACCACACAGGCCACATCTATATATGGTAAGATGTGGTTAAAACACATCAAAAAACGTGCGAGAAAATCGGCGAGTCAACCTCTCCTGAGTCCCTTAAGGAAGCCAGCGATCCTCGGATATGATAGAAGACCTTCAAATGCTCCGTGGTTACTTGAATGTGGATAGGAGCGAAGGATGTTCCCATCTCCTTTCCATTTTTAAATAGCGACATTCCTTGAGCACATTCAGGGAGATAGAAACACTGAAGTTGGAAAGATGGAATCTAAAATCCCGAATCAAAACTGATGAAATACTTCACACGGAATCGGGGTCCGCCGTCCCCCTTCCCTTCCCACAATCCTGGGAAGCCACGTGGTTTTAACAGAGCATTTCATTTTATTCTAGCATGACTGCCAAAAAAGAGGTGGCGGTAGGTTATTGATGCTCGCCGGGATGGAAGCAGAAAGAGGTGTCCTTCTGCAGTTGGCCAGTGCGAAGAAGGGAACAGGGAAGACCATATAAAAAGCCCGCCCCGCTAGCCTCGCCTTCAAGGGCGCTGAGAGAAAACTTGGGAAGTAAGGAATTTTGTGTCAACGTGGCGCAAACGGACGAGTCCCCGAGCGCTCGGCCACGCCCATCATCCCACTGCGGACCCGGATTGGATATTGCAGAGATGAGGGGCGTGTCCGGGGAAAGACACCAGCGGAGCGAAGAGATGCGCTGAGGCAGCATTCCGAGAGCGGGCTTCGTGGCGCCGCCGCTTCTTTGGGGAAGAGGTAAAAGGCGCGGGGAGACGGGCGCTCGGCAGGGAGAGTCGACACTGGCCTAGGGAGAATTAATGGAAAGGGGTTATGGATGGGCAGGACAGAAATGAGGTGAACGAAATGAGGTCCTCGGGGGCTGACCGTGGATAACTTCATCGGGAAAAGAAACCTTTTCCTTTGTTAAGGACGGCAGCCCTGGAATTGGGGCCAAGTTGGGATGCTCTTGATTTGACTAGTGGATGAGAGATGAGTGATGAGCGGACCCGGTTGTCCGGAGCCAGAGTAGAAGATCGAAGCATCCAAAGCAGAGGGGTGCTGAAGTATCTGGCGCTTTGTGGAGGCTCTTGGAGCAAGAGTGTTTGCGGTTTAGAATTGGGAGGAGACCAACTCCAGAAAACGGAGCAACGTGGCCACGTGTGGGATTTTAAGGGGGATGCTAAAACCCTCTTTGGAATGGGTAGCAGTAGCCAGCTCTTACTGAGAAAGTTACTTATTTATGCCATAGTTCTGCATCCTGCCCCGTTTTTAAATTAATTAGTAGGATTTTTTTTTACTCCTACCTACTGCCTATAGTTAGATTTTCTCCATGATATTTTCTGATATGGGATATTAGTTCTCTTTTTTTTTCATTTGCTTCCTGATTGAAATTTGTATTTTCCACCAAAAGCAACTATTTTAAAATAAAATTATAAAACTATGAATTGCACAGATTGTGTCTTGCTGGGGCAGGGACTCTTGTGCTTCCTATTAGCTTGAACTATTTAATTTATCTTGGCATTTGAAGACATTCATATGGGGAAAGGGGATGAAATATGCATTTTTTTCTTGCAAGTAGCTATATTACCCTAATCCAGTATAAAGTCAGTAAATATATATATATGGCAAAGACTTCCTGGCCCTAGTTTCTACTTCATCAGTTTGATGATATTATTCTGAGTGGGATGGTAAAGAAAGAAATTAAAGGAAAATGAAATGTAGAAAGTGATGGACCATGGTTATCTGAATAATACTGACCATTCACAAAACAATAGTTGGGTTGTAGTGAATACCCAGTGTTATCAGATCATTATCACCGTCTCCACTGTTTCTTCTCAATTCTTTGTCTACTATTTCCTTTGCCTCTTCACCTTTTTACTGAGGAAATTAGTAAATGAAGACTTGCATTTTGGGGGGAGGGGTAAATAACAATATGTAAGTGAGTTGTCCCTGCTTCTTCCAGAATGTTTTTTTTTAAATTCTGAGGTCTTGAAGGCGCCTCTAGGAATTCCAGTGTTTCCTTATCCAGAGTTCAGACAGACATGACCCTATCTAGCCTTTTTAAAATTAGCCATCAAGTTAAGCTGTGCCACTTGCTAGGACTGAGCAGAAAGGTTTCCATCATAATAGATTTGCTATTCTTTAAGAGGTAGAATTCTTAATCTCTGAGTTTGGTTGTTTGCTTGCAACCCAAGTAGGTAACATCGTCAATATAAGTACCCAAGGCAAATGAGAGACACACTGACTAATGATGTTACCTAACTGGCTACTGAAACATCTGCAAGCTCAGAGAATACCAAGAACTCCACAGTTCAATCTTGGGCTACACCTATTTTCTTATTTTGGTATTCTTCAAAATGCCAGAAGACCTAATTAATTTTTCAGTTTTTATTGTAGTGGAATCGGCTCTGTGCAATGGCAGGAGGCTGTTGGGTTTTATTCAGTCCAGGGTCTGCCACAGGCCAAGGAACTTGGCAATGGAAGCGTCCTTTTTGTACTACAGCCTCAGATGTAAAGCTGTGTTCCCTTTCTGTGTCACTCTGTTCTTCAGTGGCTTTGTTCTGGACAGAGCAAGAACAGTGTTTGTTGAGCTACTTCAGGAATTGAACATTTTGTATTCTGGGCACAAACTGAGGACTGGCCTAATTTTCCTTTGCTGCTGTGATCTGCTGATGTTTTCTCCCTTGAAAGGTGCAGCCCTTATTACTGATGCCCACCTCCAACAGGGCCTTAGAGAATGGTAGAGCTTTGTGTCCTGATGAATGGATTAGAATGAAAGGAAGTAGAATGACTAAATAGATATAGCTGGGAATGGGGACTTGATGATCTTTGGTATGGAGAGAGGCCCCAGGACAAAACCAGGTGATTGGCCGTTTATCTGAGGCACCTCACCTCAGTGCTCCTTGCCTACATGGCAAGACTATGACTAGGAGGTATTATTTCAAATCTGCCACTGGGAAAGTTCCAGTGCAGAAAACAATAGCATGTTGCTGGATTATATGAGACTGGGAGACCCTGCACACCCAACCTCTTGCTCAGACAAGAGGTTGCTGAGAGTTTATTTGATAACTGTGCCAATATTTTTAAAATCAGTTGTTTTACAGAAAGGTAAATTGATGATTCCCTAGAATGAAATAGAGCAGGGGTCTCCAACCTTGGCAACTTTAAGACTTATGGACTTCAACTCCCAGAGTTCCTGAGCTAACATGACTGGAGGAGGAATTCTGGGAGTTGAAGTCCGCAAGTCTTAAACCTGTCAAGTTTGAAGACTCCTGCTTTAGAAGAAGGATTTGAAGGAAATTAGAGAGGTGGTACTCTCCAAACTCTAGGCAGCATAGGAGAATGTCATATTTTTAGGAAGCAGGAGTTCTCAAAAACAGCAAAGTAGATTGGTATGAGGAATAAAATTTTCAAACCCTGATGTATCAGGATATGTATAAACCAGTAATGCACGTTCTATGTGTTTTCCTTATTCGTCATTTTTATCTTTCCAAGAGGTATACAATGGCTTTGCACAACACGCTTTGCTACTATTACCTGCTGACTGTATGCCTCGTCTGGGCCCAGGCCAAGCCACCCCCTGACAAGAAGGATCGTGTCCACCATGGTCAAGACCTCAGTGATCACCCCCATGATGATAGTCAAGACTTCCGCTATGATCATGAAGCCTTTTTAGGCAAAGAAGATGCCAAGACATTTGACCAACTAACTCCTGAAGAGAGCAAAGAGAGGCTGGGGTAACGATGTATTGGTGAAATTGAATAACGAATTTTGCATTCCAAAACCAGGAGAGAGGAAGATCAAATGTCTATGCAGGTTTCTTAGAAGACAAAGGATGGATTGTAGGGACTTGCCTTTCCCTACAACTTATAGAGAAATTATAAATTTTTGCAAAAAATAATAATATAATATATACTGTACATCTGTTTCATGTATTTGAGCATAGGCAGATTGCAAAAATCAGTTTTTACTTATAGTGAGCTAATTGAACATCACATCAAAGAACAAATAAACAAGTTGTCTAATTTGCAGAACTAAAGAAATCAAGAAATGTGTTTTCCTGATTGGTTTAGTTCTTGCCACTGGCTGGTGAAACCAAATGAGAATGGTGACATACAATACAAGAATTGTAAGCTTGTTTCTCTAAGAGGGGATTCTAGGTATGCTGGCTTATTGTGTGCAAACTGGGTTATGGTTTGGTCAAACTGGTTACAGGCATATTTGAAACATCTGGAGTTTATGAAGTCCGTCATCTAAGCTTTATATCCATTCTTGACATGACATTTAGCCCATTTCAACTATATGACCAAAAGAAAACCCAACCAAAATAATAATGTGATTAAACAAATAAATATCATCATATGGGATTTTTTTCTTCAGGAAACTATGAAATGCAAAGAAAATGTGCTATGAATCCAGAGTCTTTTAAAGATAGTATCATCCAGCCATTTGAGAATCATTTCTCCAAAGCGATGTTACTCAACCTTCATAAGATGCACAGGTTTCAATTTCCAGAATTCTCCAGGCAGCATGTTGCCAAGGTTGAAAAACATTGTTCAACAGGGATCAAGTTCTCATTAGAAAACTGATCAGGCAAAGAGACTTTTTTTCCCCTGGAACTATTAAGAACTAATGAGATGTAGAAGGAAGTTTTCTATTTTCTGCCTCAAGTCACCATTTATAAAATGGTAGCTGCCTAGAACAGTGGCCCCCAACCTTTTGGGCACCAGGGACCAGTTCTATGGAGAGAGGTTTTTTTTTTGCAGAGGAGAGGGGCCATGGTTTCGGATGTTGCCTGCATCCTGTGGGGCTTTGCTTGTTTGCCTGATCCTGCATGCCCCAGACTGGTACTGGGTCCAACAAACTGGGGTTTGGGGACCCCTGGCCTAGAAGATATTGAGAAATAAGGCATCTTTCATAGTTACTATCCAGACCTTGCCTGAAGAACTCTAATGAGAGGGAGAGAGAAATCCTGCTTCTCCTATTACTTCTAGATAATTGGCTTTCTGGTGTAACTTCATCATGTTTACTAAGGAAACATGCCTGTTTGCTTCAAAAACAAAAATTAACACATGCTCCCAATGAAGTGCACAATTAAGATAGAGCTCTAAACTGGTCTTTGAATCCATTGATCTATTGGATCTTAATTTCGGCCCTAAAAATGTGCTGTAAATCATCCACTCCCAGTAGTGCCTCCAAAAACATTAGCACTTCACTTCTCAGAAATCCTAGCCTCCACTCGCAATGTGTTACAGGTGGTTCGTGATATTCTTTATAGAACACTTGAGTTGGGCAGTCCAGAGTGTTTCTGTAAGCCACCCTCCTGAGTTTATTTTTGTTTATTTTTGCAGGAAGATTGTGGATCGAATTGACCGAGATGGGGATGGTTTCGTGACTCAACCTGAATTGAAGGATTGGATCAAGCATACTCAGAACCGCTATATCTATGAGAGTGTGAACAAGAACTGGAAGGACTATGACAAGGATAACGATGGCCAAATCACTTGGAATGAATTCAAAAGGACCACTTATGGGCACTATGAAGGTAAGAGGGTGGAAGAGAAATTGGGGCAGGGGGAACCATATGTTTATGTGGGAGAGACAGACAGGAGAAACATTAAGCCAGAACAGAGGAGAGCAAGAGGTACTATAGTCACCTACTCTGAAAAAAAGCAAAAAGGTAGACCGTATCTTGAGAAATTAGGTTAATAAGAGTGATATAATTTGCCTTCTCTTGATGTGTACTGTGCTGTATCTCACCAATGATTTCAGACTGATCAAAAAATAGTTTTCTCTATTACAACAGTTGCTCCAGAGAAGAGCCCTAAAAACAGCAGTTTATATAACACATACTTTAATTTCCTAATGACCACATGCCTCATTACAAAGACCTCACATTGCATTTAATACAGAGACAGGTTTGGTTATCACTCAGGGTATAGGCTCATTCTGATGAACTGTTTCACGGGTATCATTCTTTGTCTGTTAATGATTATGATCAACCAAGTCTGAAAATCTTCTGGTATGAAAATAAGTTAATTATGTGCTCAGGTTTATTGGTGGGGAGGGGGAAACTTCACTGATGCTCATGTCTTTGCTTTCTTCAGGAGAAGAATTTGGTGATCTTGAGGACAAGAATTCATATCGGAAGATGTTGGCCAGGGATGAGCGACGATTCAAAGCTGCTGACAGAAATGGAGATATGAGTGTGACAAAAGAGGAATTCACAGCCTTCCTTCATCCCGAAGAGTTTGACTACATGAAGGACATTATAGTGATGGTGAGGCTGGGCATATTAATACTAAATTGTGCAAATTACTCTGGTTTATCTGGCTGTATGAATCTAATCATTGTGGCTTAATCAGCAACAGAGCTCAGGATACTATGTCATAGCACATTGTGCGGACCCTGCCAGTCAAGGGAAATGTCCTATCTAAATTGGTTTCCCATAACCATTCTATGGTTTCATTCTCCATGTTTGCATAGAATTAGAATTTCAAATTCAAATAGAATAATTTCCATTTATTTATTTATATGGCTGCCCAAAAAGCAGTTCTGGGCAGTATACAACAATTAACAAAAACAACAAAACAATTATAAAAATCAATAAAAGTGAAAATATTAAAATTTCGGTAACAGATCTTATTTACCCGTAACAATGAGTGGATTGGGAAAACTCTATTGAAAACAGAGGGCTTATACATGGTTGCTTATTGAATCCATGTCTAGATTCACATTCTCTGCCATAGTTGATTTTAAAACAGTTTGACCACAGTGTTCTCAGTCCACATCTCAGTCATAAACCATAATTTTTGAACTCTATAACTCTCAACAAGCTAAGCCAAAACCAAAACCAATTACAGCTTTTAATATAAAGATCAACAATTTTTTAATTCGTTGGGTATCGCTATGTGCTTTTATATAGTATGAGATGGGCAAATATATTTTAATATATAAACAATCTTTAAAAAATTAAAAATGCCCACAATGTGAGCATGCAGAGATCTTATGAGATTATCTTATTTTTTTTAATACATTCAATGGCTACCATCTACTAGTATTATGGGTTAATCTTCAACTTAACATGTAAATCCAAATACCATATAAAAACAATGCTTAGTCAGGTGAGTTTTTTTCTCAACCATAGAAACTGGATGTGTAGCTCTCAATTCCCAGAATTTCCTAGTCAGCAAGCTGGTTGGAGAATTCTGGGAGTTGTAATCTACAAATCTTCAAATTACTATGTTTGAGAAACACTAGTTTAGTGCTTTCAAATAGTACATAGACTTATGAAATTTAGGGGGTTGGAGTTTATCCAGTTGAAACAAAGATCAAAGATCAAGAATTATCTGAATGAGAATAATCTTATTGCATGCTTCAGAAGAACACTGTCTTGATCTTCCCAGCTCATGACAGATACATTTGTGACAGCCTCTCTTAGGCACTTTATCATTAAGAAATCCTGTTTTCTGTGATGGATGGTGTATATATATTGGAAGGGTAGAAAACAAATGTATTACTTAGCAGATAGATGTCACTAGGGTGACTCATAAAAGAATGGAGCTGAAACTTCTACAAGAAATTTTGCACCCAGTCCCAGTAGCTATTCTTCTATTTTATTAAAATGTCTATTCCTGCCTTGTGGTTTCCATTTAAATTGTATTCTCTTTCTCCCCTTTCCTTTAATTGTACCTTACCTCTCTCGTGAAATGTTAAATTTTTCCTTTACAAAATATTTCAGATGGTGTAAAGGATCTCTGTATAAAGGATTTTGTAATTACCAAATTAAGATGTAGCGCTGTTCTAGCATCCTGTTTTTTTAATTGTCCTGAAAAATCCAGGTCATTTTAGACGATAAAAGGTAGCAATGATCTGCTTTATGCTTGCAATGTAAGCAAGAATGAAATGTGGTTACTGCTACCTCAGAAGCTGAAGTGAGATGCTGATTTAAAATCAGCTCCCTATGTTTCTTTAAAAAAAGGAACAAAAAATCAAAACCCTCTAATAGTCTGTCTGCTGTCTAAACTGTGTTTATGAGTTTCAGTTGAAAATTGAGTCTTTTCTCTTTAATACCTAAGAGAGGAATCCAGTATGCTGTTTTGCATTCAGCATCTCCTTTCTCCCAGATGCAAAGCTGACTATAATCTTGGAGAAGTCCTTCCCAATTTCCTTGAGGATGATAGCACTCATGGATACAGCTCTTGCAGAAGGTAGAAGGGGTCAAACTCAATCCAGAAAAATCTGGGGAAAATCCCATCTGCAGAACCATTGTTGATTAGAGTGTAGGTCCTCCTTTGAGTAACCAAGGCCCAAACTTAGAAAGCAATTATGACTCACCCACATTTCCCATGACTTCCTTGTTCTGCAACAGAATTATACTACCAAGCATCTAGGAACAGAAAATGCCTTTTACAATAGGCAATATTTCTTGAGGTTTTGGTATCTTTTGGCACAAATCCTGTGGGAAGATCTGCTGTACCCTTCTGACTTTTTCAGGAAACCCTGGAGGACATAGATAAGAATGGTGATGGCTTCGTAGAAGTTGATGAATATCTCGGTAAGAATATAAGAATTCTGCCTGAATGACAATGGATTATCCCCTATTAAGAAGTAGGCTGGTTTGGGGCAGAACTGTAAGTCTTTTTTGAGCCCAGAGGAAGGAAGTTCTGTGATTCAATATCTCTTCTATCCTATTACTTCACTGACTTGCCTTGATTAGAAGAAATCCAGCAGCTAGAGAGGCAGCGTTAACAGGAATTTTTTGGTATCTCACTTATTCTTATTGATCAGGTGACATATACTCCCCTGAAACTGGGGAGCCGGAACCTAGCTGGGTGACAAATGAACGTCAACAATTTCTGGAACACCGAGATATCAACAAAGATGGAAAGATGGATCGGGAGGAAATTGGGCACTGGATCCTGCCCACAGACTATGATCATGCTGAAGTGGAATCCAAGCATCTCCTTGTTCAATCGGACAAAGATCTGGTAAGAATAATCCAGGCATGGGAAATGAGCTGTAATGCTCAGGTTAAGCAGGAGTTGAGGTGTGTGGGTGGTGTGTGACCCGTTAGCTTTTTTTTTTTTTTTTTTTTTTGAGCCCAAATTGGGTGAGTCCCCAAGAACTAAACTTAACTTGAAGATTTTACTTTAGGGAAATTTTAGCTCCCGGTCTCTTGACAGTTGATGTAGAAGTAAAAGGTTTTGATCCTCCCTCAAATCATGTTGGGTATCAATGCATTCCTTAAAGATTTTTGTCCTAGTTTACTTGTAATTGGGGATGATTACCGAGTCCAGTGCAAATTCATTAAATGAAAGAAATAGGTCACTTTTTAATTATGAAAGAAAATTATTTTTGGGAAAGGAATATAATTTAAAACAGAGTCCATTCTTTCCTCACTTTTTCTTCATTTTATCTGATTCAAAAATTGTGCTTGTACTCTACTTTCAAAGAGCTGGTACAATCAGGTCAAATCTTGGCAGAAGCATATTAACCTACAAAGGGAAGGAAACAAAGCATATAGCTCACCAGGCTTTCATTACAGGCTTGTCTAGTAATATTAAGCAGGATCTGACCAGTACTACCATAGTCATCCTAAAATTTAATTCTTGAAGCTCGTTTTTATTTATTGATTTGTTCATTTATCTTTTTGTTTATTAAATTTATATGCACCCCATTTCTCAGTTTGAGGCAACTCTGAATGCCAGCTGCACCTCTCAGTGCAACTGAGATCTATTCACAAATACAGTTTTAACACAATCTCAAGTGAATACTTGAAAGCTTGCCCTTGACTATCTCATCTCAATTAAATGGCACAAGGCTATAAGCACATCCAGCTTCTAGGACAGCAAGTGTATTTTCAGCTCTTCAATGTCAATCAAGACCCAAATTTCATCCTCAGGGAAGCTTCTTTAAAATATTGGTCATTAATGAGAGCATTAGACTAAGGATTAACCATGCTCTTAACAAAAAAATTGAATGTCTGTCCTCTACTGAAAAACTTCCTATCCTGACCACAAGAATAGAAAGCTGTGTTTCCAAGGCATGCTTTGTTACTGCTGAATCTCTTAAAAGAAAGCAAACTTATTTTAAGAATTAAAATAAAACACTCTGCCACTTAAAGGAAGGAGTATGTGTACAATGTCCAGATCCCATAGATATTTTGTTCAGAATTGTGTCTTGTGGGTGGCTTTGTATCACACACTGCCAATACCTAAGATATGCAATGTTTGACTCCAGTTGCTATCTTTGTTTTGAAATAGCAGAATAGAAAGCAAGCCACTCAGAATGTACTATTGTAGTTTTTTTAAAAAAGTAATTACGGGGGAGTAAAATACAACAATCTCTCTAGTGCCACTAAGAACTTCTAAATGAGGAAAAAGCAGAAGATTTAAACTGCCTCTTGTCACATGAACTCTTCTAAGAGACTTGAAGCATTCATATTTTAAAAGTTTTCCTACTCCCTGAAAAATTAACACATGGCTTTAAAGTTTTATATGTAATTTACTAACAGCACAATATAAGAATGTTAAAAAATACATGATTGGGGTGTAATTGGGTTATAATTATGCCCTTCTCTCCTTGCCTTTCTATTTCTCTTCTCCCATTGCTTCTCTTCCTCCCCCACATCACAGGATGATAAAATAACCAAGCAAGAGATTTTGGACAATTGGAACATGTTTGTGGGGAGCCAGGCCACCAACTATGGTGAAGATTTGACAAAGAAGCACGATGAACTGTAACTGGCATGGGTGGGGGGATATACAACAGCAGGTTCTCCCTTACATGGGAGTGGGAGAAACACACTCCAGAAGGAATTGCTGTCTATTTATTGTTGGAAGGGCCTGCTTAAACTTCAAAAAGTAGTGTAGCTGGCATACTCGGGTGGTTTTCCCTAGGATCCATTCCTGTTCTTCTGCAGCCTCCTTCTCCCCCAAAGCACTGAGAGCCCTTATCACATTATGAAGATCTCCATGTTCCAGAGACGTTTGAGAAAAAGATTAAATACACCTACACCTTCTTTCATCCGTGCGTTTAATCTCTCCTGTAATGTTCTTAATGCACCTCAGTTCTTCCCTTGCAATCCACACTCGATCTAAGGGAAAGCAAAGATTATCTTCCCCAAATGCTTCCCTTCTTTTAAGAAAACAAACACAGCTGTTCTCTTTTCAAATACTTGTCTGGGACCTGTTGGGAATAATGAAATAACCAGTTGGGTCCAAAATTACCTCCTATGTCTGTTTTATATAGGTAAAATAAGTTGAATGCAGGTTGAATGTGTTTTTAAGCATCTTAGTGGTAGCCAATACCTTGGATAAATACTGCTTATCTAGGCTTGTAGTTCTTTCTCTGTACCCCTTCCTTCTCCAGGATAACAGGCTTTCCCGGGATGAAGTCATAGAGTTGATGAAGCACAGCATTCAAAGCGCCAAAGAGTATAAAAACACAGTTGATTATCTGGGGGGCCGCCAGGAGTTGTGATCTCTAACTTGTAAAAATTTTGGATTACTAATAAAACAATTTCCCAACCTGTCAAGATATTGTGTCATAGATTGGACAACAGAAGCAGCAGCAAAGTTTTAAGGCAAAAAAGATTGATCCAACAGAGGAGCATGACACTTTTTTTTAATATTAATCCATTTAAAAGATACACCGAACCTTTGATTTATGTGAACTGCACCCTCTATTTTCTTTTCCAAGGTAGAAAAAGTTGATAATTAAAGCATGACTCCTAAAAGTAAGCCATTGATTACACATTTCCCAAGTTAATAATTCTTTCTTTCAAAAACTTTTAAGGAAGCCTGGTTTACAAAATTACAAGATAGTTTATCTTTCTTTATATACAATATTAGCTCTTTTATGCTAGCAGATGGCAGTCAGCATCAGGTGGAGAATCATTGCTTTCTTTTCCATCTGAATATATTAAGCTTGCATCACAGGCCGAGATTTCTTGGCTTCCAGCTCCACGCCTGACCCTGCAAATCCTGTGCCACCCTGGAAAAAAAGAAAACTCGTAAGGAAAGAGGAATGGCATGTGATGTGAAGGCCCACATTTATCCTGTCCCTGATGGTTAGGAAGTTTTATGTTCTGCTCAGTGCTTGGGCTGGGCAACATTACAACTGCTTTGATTGACAGCTAATCCCGGGGCATGTGATTGCCCTGGGAGGAGGAAATTCTCTGCAAATATTCAGACGCATTTAGAGTCAGTATGTAGTTCTCTACCCTCAAATTTGTATATCATATTTTGCTCTAAATCTGAGTTAACAAAACACGACATGTGTTTGTAAGACTTGCTATTTTAAAACCTGCCACATTATAGTGTACATATGATATGCTTTATAGAACATGCTAATAGTTTTCTACAGCACGCTAAACCATACATTTCTGTAGGTAATATTCACAATCCAAATAATCTCAGATAAATTATTTTTCTATCTATCTATATCTCTATATCTACCTGTCTATCTATCTATCAATCAATCAATCAATCATATATATATCTGTACAGATCTTTGAAGTGCTAGAATGTTTCCAAACATCACACAATACAGAAATTATTTTAAAGCATAACTAGAGATACATGAAGGTTATCTTTGATAACAAAATGATAGTAGTCATTGCTTAGAAGGCTAAAGGAAAGCAATCTTTATTAAGAAACTTCTCAATATTTACATCAACATAAAGATGTTAAGATTGGTTTCAGATCAACTCTCCACTCTTCAAATGTATTGGAACTATACCTACTAAAATTGCCTGTTCTGGAAGTCACATGTGCTTTAATAGTCAATCTCACCCGTTGTAAAACGATGATGTCTTTGTCAGTCAACTTTTCTCCATTCATTGGATCAACCATATCTTTCTTGATAAGTTTTTCCACACATTCCAGAGTCACAACTGAGCCTCTTAAAAGAAAGAAAGAAAAAGAATATCTCTTTAACATATTAAAGACAGATTCCACATGCTTGGATTCAACTAGAGATTTAATCTCATAGGTAGCCTGCTAGTAAATGCTTTTCCTCACTCCAAAAAAGCCCCATCTCATTACTTACGATGGACGGAGCACAGCACAAGGGACAGAGTTTCCAAGCATGTCTCGCGTGACAGCACACACGTAGCGGTCCTGCCGGTTGATTAGTCCAACACGATCTACACTAGAATCTACAGGGGTGAAATGCACTGGGATCAAATCTTTCAGCTTCAGTGGTTTCCTACTCATGGGGCAGTACACGCACTTGTCCTAGAAGAAATGACATGAATAAGATAAACTGGGATAAGATAAAATAACCATAGAAACTGGGGCAGTGTGACTTCTAGCCCTACCTTAGGCACAAAGTCAGCTGGGTGACTTTGGACCAGCCACTCTTAGCCTTGAGGAGGCAGTGGCAAACCATTGGTGAAATCCTGCCAAGAAAACTGCAGAGACTTCTCCAGGCATCACCTGGAGTAAACACTGCCCAAAGGCATGCACCATCATCACCCACATGGATTAGATTAGAATATGGAAACCTGTATTCTAATCCTGCCTTTAAGCCATGGTGGTGCAGTAGTTAGAAGGCAGTATTGCAGGGCTAATCCACTGCTCATTCCAGTTCAATTCTGATCAGCTCAAGGTTGATGCAGCCTTCCATCCTTCCAAAGTCAGTACAATGAGGACCCAGCAATACGCTGACTCTGTAAACCAGCGTCGCCAACTGGTGGGCTGTGAGAAAATTTTGGTGGGCTGCAGAAATATCTCACCCTCAGAGCACCCTGCCCCAAAGCAATTAATCCAGGCTGCGCAGAAACACAAGGCTGCGCCACCCACATGGGAACGCTCCCCGCCCACTCCTTACCTGGCAAACATGCCTGCTAAATTGCTATTTTTCCTTTTTCTGACCATCATCTGTTCTGCTGTGCCAGGAGATTTAGATTAGCTAGGAAGCAGGAAATGGTTGGATTTTTTGCTTTCTAGCTAGTCTTTAGATCTTCGGCTCTGCTTTTAAGCACAGCTGAACCTCCCTTAGCACTGAAGGTTCTATTATTCAGTGCAGACTCACGACAAGCAAATTTGAGAGACTGAGCTAGCCAATAGAAGATACATAGGTCACTGAATGATTCTGTGAGCAATTCAATCTGCCTGCCTGCTTTGCCTGATTTTGGGTAAAAGTTGCTCTTTTTTTAAATAAAAAATTCAATATTCACGTACATGGTGTGTTATGGGTTAATTTTGTGAGTTTGCTTGCAAGCAAATTTTATGTGACAGACTAAGCTAGCCAAATGGCAGATAGATTTCTGAATGAATCTGTGATTCTGTGAGCAACTCAATCTGCCTGCCTGCTTTGCCTGATTTTGGTTAAAAGTTGCTCTTTTTTAATTAAAAAAAAACACTATTTATATTAATATTTATATTTACATACAAGCCATGCCCAGCCAGTCACATGACTACCAAGCCACACCCACAAATTAGGGCATGCCCACAGAACCGGTTAGTGGTCCCAGGGATTTAAAATTATGAGTTTGGTGGTCCCTGAGGTCCAAAAGGTTGGCGACCCCTGCTGTAAACCACTTAGAGTGGTAAAGCACTGTGAAGCAGTATATAAGTCTTAAGTGCTATTGCTATAAGTAAGCCCTCAAATATTCAAAATTCAAATGCTTTATTTGTAAGACCTGATATGCAGAACATCTATATCAGGGCTGTCAAACTCCCAGCCCGTGGGCGTGACGCTGCCGTGACGTGAGTTTGACACCCCTGATTTAGATGCAACAAAAAATGTGTAACCTGAAAATATAAGCTACCCATGACTGGAAAATAAATAAATATATTTATTTATTTTAAAATTCACTTTCTGATTTTCCAGTCATGAATAGCCTATATAGGGTATTTGTATGTGGATCTTTGGTTATTCGGGTTTTCTCC